AATCTTCAATTGGTTTATTTGGTATAACAAAATTAAAGCGTCCCGCATCAATTTCTATAGTGACACTGGGGCTTGTCTAAATTTTTGGAGTACTGGGTTCGAAGTATTGGAATCATGAATGCCCAAAATCTCCAAACTCCCCAAAGTCAGCTGCTTATATGTACTTCGGCCCAAAACTGGCGTAGGCCGAAGGGTTCTGGGGATTTGATGATTCCCCAGTTTTCATTAATTCCAAGAAATGTTTTCTTTCTTTAATATTTCTGCTTTCTTAACCAACTTTCTAAATTTAGTCACAGAGATTGCTCTTCCCTTAACTCTAACCTACTTCACTTCACATCTCGCACCGTTACTCCCCACAAATTCTGCCCTTTCTTCTTCCTTCTTTTTATTCTAACTCTGCCCACTTATCCGGGCTGTCATAGCGACAAATCCAATTTTTAAAGTGCATAGGAAAAATGGCGTTGTTTATTCTCCTCATTAATTTCAATTGCCTGACTCATTTTCAGTCCAGTGAAAAGAAAAACACAAACCAGATCACCTTCTCATTTTAACCTTCTGAGCGCTAGATAAAAATTATTTCCTAGTTTGTTTTTGTCGAAGAAAATACATTTGTTTACCTGATTTCTCAAGAAAGAGATACGCTGTTTTACATCCACGGGCCGGTCAAAGTGGGTTCGTTTTCTGTTTTCATTTCTCAATTCGTTTTTGCTAATGAAAATATAATTCTCGTTTGCTTCTCATTTCGCCAATGACGTGTTTTATTTTTAAATTCCCAAGAAAGAGATTTGCCAATTTTCTTTACCCCCATCCCCAATTTTCGATAGATAAAAAAGTAAAACCTTGGTGCATCATTTGAAACAACCCAAATGGTCCTTTCACTTCCACACGACCAGGGAAAATGTTTTCTATTCTCTCTTTCTATCTATCCAGTTTATATTTCATTTTGGGCTTATCCCCTTTTCCGCTTAGAATTAATTTTTAACTCACAGCCTCAGTGCAGCAGTCAAATGAAGTTAGACATTTAATAATTTATATTTGAATTTTCAACGGACACCAGAGAAATGGTCGGAAATATAGGAAAACAATAAGCAAGAAAACCTTATCATACAACACTGTTTTCATCATACAACACTGTTTTTCACGTGGGTTGGCTGAAAAGTTCATAAGCTGTCTGTGTGATGTTAGAGCTGTGAAATATTTCATGCATTAATTTTAACTCTTCTTATTAATAACCGCATTTTTACTTTTCAGGAAATACGGTGGGCTGAAAATTTCATAAGCTGACTATGGAATGATATAAGCGCTTTAAAAAACTTGTATGCATTAATTTCAACTCTTCTTATTAATGACTGCATTTTTTCAATCCAGATGGACACACATCTGATCTTTCAACGAAGACTGTTCATCCTGATGCTCAAAAAAGCCATCGGCACCAGATATGATGTCATTATCACTGCAATAATGGTTCTCAATCTAGTGTTTTTCATGTTGGGGAACAGATGATAGTCAAATCAAGAGAATAGGGAGGGTGATCAATCAGTTCAAAGCCATAGTCACGAACAGCAGGCATTGAAACTAAAGACCTGTGTGCTAGAGCATTTTCCAATGAAAGAAGATCTCTTTCGTCAGTGTTTTTTTTTTTGTTTGGTCTTGATAGGCTTTCATTACTGTCTCGGCGGTTGGCATAGGACTCTCCGTTGCCAATGTGGCCGTTTTGAAGATAGTCAATAAACACAACAACTTTTATACCCATTCCCTGCAAATGAAAAGAAACGATGAAAAAAAAATACAATGCAGTTATTAATATTAGGTTGTCCCAAAAGTTCGTAAACACTCGCGAAAAATTTAATTTTTATGCAACACAATCCAGCACAATCGAGACAAGCGATGGGTTCAGAAAGGGCAAGAGACACCGTTGGTTCCAAAACAAGATCAATTCGGCAAGAAAGTCATGTTGTGCGTTTGGTGGAACTTTGAAGGAATCGTGCATTTTGAGTTGGTTCCGAATGGTCGTGCCATCAGTGCCGAACTTTACTGTCAGCAACTGGAGCGGGTCTACGAAAAGTTGAAGCAAAAGTACCCGGCTCTGATCAACTGAAAGCGCGCTTTGATGCAGCAGGACAATACCAAAGCCACACACCGCCAGGAAGACCAAAGACAAGTTTGAAGAGCTGGACGGCGTTGAGGTTCTGCCACATTCAGCCTACAGTCCTGACTGTGCTCCATCAGATTACGGCCTTTTCTGCTCAATGCAACACTTTCTGAACGGCCGCCGATTCGACTCGTTTGATGAAGTCGCGGAAGCGTGTCAAGAATTCTTTGATTCGAAGCCGGCTGAATGGTATTTTCACTAGATCCGAAAGCTTGCAGATCGATGGCAGAAAGTCTTGGAAGATGATGGTCTTTATTTTGAGGAATAATTTTTGTTGTTTTTGTTATTACTTGGCGAGTAAAATTTCAATTTTTTGCAAGTGTTTACGAACTTTTGGGACAACCTAATAAGAAGAGTTAAAATGAATTCATGCAAGATTTCACAGCTCTAGTCTTATTCCTTTAGAGTCATCCTATGAACTTTTCAGCCTAACCTCGTATATATATCATCAGCCATTTTGATTGATCGTTCTAGCTGAAGGCCTTTCGTATTATTTACAAGGCGGCCGCGATTGTGTTATTCTTTGCCATGTCTCACATGTAAAACCTCTATGGCATTTTTTGTACTCTTGCTATACATTAAATCGTTCAACATTTGTTATTATTGCTCATTAATAATGTTATTCTTATATCTATTTACTCAGTGACCGACTGTGTGTTAGTGGCTCTGTTGGGATGAAATGATAAAAAAAATATCTCTTTCTGATCTTAAAGAGGAAAATGTCTTTTGCATTTCCACTTTTCTTAGAACTTGCTCGTTACTTCCATAGTCTGTCTATGGTATTCTCTGTATCTTTCTCTACAGCTTCTCTTCATCAGCGGGGAAATTGTCCAGGATTCACTGATTTTCTTTTTTTTTTAATCGTATCACCACAAGTAAGGCAAAAAAGTCACTAAGATGAAAAGGCTTACTGAGAATGAGATTGCTTTGGTTTGGTTTGTTTTACGGCTTATCAAACTCATCGGGTTATTTAATGCCGACATGATTTTTATTACTGGTTATAATTTTTCCAAAAATGTATAGTTGGTAATAATATATTTCTGGTAATATTTTTTCTTTCAAAAATGTAATGCTCGTAATATTTATTTCTTCAAAATTGTATTACTGGTAATATTTTTAAGAAAATCTATTTCTGGTAATATTTTTCTTCAAAAATGTATAGCTGGTAATAATGTATTGCTGGTAATATTTAAAAAAAAAATGTATTGCTGGTAATATTGTTTGTTTTTTTCTTAAAAATGTATTGCTGTTAATTTTCTTTTTTCAAAAATGTATTGCTGTTAATATTTAAAAAAAAAAAATCTATTTCTTATAATATTTTTTCTTCAAAAATGTATAGCTGTTAATAATGTATTGCCGGTAATATTTTTTTCTTAAAAAATGTATTGTTGGTGATAATTTTTCTTCAAAAAGGTATAACTTGTAATAATGTATTGCTGGTAATATTTGTTTCTACAAAAATGTATTGCTGGTAATATTTTTTCTGCAAAAATGTATTGCTGGTAATATTTTTTTTTCTTCAAAAATGTATTTATGGCGATATTTTTTTTTCAAAAATGTATTGCTGGTAATATTGTTTTCTTCAAAAATGTATTACTGGTGATTCTATTTCTGGTAATATTTTTTATTCAAAAAGTGTATAGTTGCTAATAATGTATTGCTGGTAATAATTTTTTTTCAAAAATTTATTGATGGTAATCTCTTTTTTTTTCTTCAAAAATATATTCCTGGTGATATTGTTTTCTTAAAAAAATTATTGCTGGTAATATTTATAAAAATAATCTATTTCTGGCAATATTTTTTAAAACTTTTTGCTAGCAATATTTTTTGTACAAAGTATTTCTGGTTTTAAAAACTATTTTTACACTTTTATAGTGTTTTGAACCCAGTTTGTGAGTTAACTATTTGCCCATAGCTGGGACCGTGACAGGTGCTACTACCCCAGGTCAGGGTGGACCCGGGAACACCAGCAATTAAGAGGTGGTTCCACGCTCCTCAAAACCTGATCAGAGGCCTTTCTGTTGGACGTAGTTTATCGTCTTACCTAGGACGCGGATATAGTTTATCGTCATACCCAGGACGGCTGAGAGTAAGAGAATATGAGAAAAAAAAAAAAGACAATCAAAGAAAGAGAACAATAAAAGAAAAGAAATCAAGAAGACCGAAGATAACGATTGACAATGCATTTATATTTTTGAAGTTCAAAGTTAACCGCAAAGCATGTAACCGAAAGAGTGTTTCATCGGTGAGAAAGGAGAGAGAAGAATATTTTCGCACAGAACTTACTGCTAAATCTACCCATTTCAATTGTAAAATGATGAAACATTGCATCCAATCTATTACTGCTCTTAAATTCATAAAGTATAGATACTTCAGAGAAAAGCTCATCCGAATACAATGAAAGTAAATATAGAAATGAGACAGGGAAAGAGACTGAAGCTAAGATGCCAGGTCAAGACCAATAACATTGAAAATTCCTCTTTGGATTTATCAAGAATCTCTAAATATATAGCAGAAGTACCAGACCAGACGTAGTAGCAATAATCAAATTATGGATGAATTGTAAATTTATAAATATGTGTGATACATTCACGAGAAAAAATGTCTCGCACGACACAGCGAAGCAAATTTCCTAGCAATAAGACTAAACATATGGATTCAATATAATTTTTCCATATCATGTCACTTTAGTCCGAGAAGGCGCAGTTAGTCCTTCTCCTGGAGGTTAATATCAGCCATGTTGATGGGAGGGGGAAAGATGATTAAGAGAGAGCAGTTTTATTTTGAAAGCGCTAAAAGTAACACACCATTCCTTGCCCCAGTTAACAAGTTAACAACAGGTTGTAGATCACTTTTTAGATAGATAGATAGATAGATGCGAACTGAGCGAAATAGATAGGTATGAGCAGACTGACGCACTATAGATAGATAGATAGATAGATAGATAGATAGATAGATAGATAGATAGATAGATTACAAACTCGGATAGATAGATAGATAGATAGATAGATAGATAGATAGATAGATAGATTACAGACTCGGATAGATAGATAGATAGATAGATAGATAGATAGATAGATAGATAGATAGATAGATAGATAGATAGCAGTTCAGCACTACTTTCCTAGCTTCTAACGCAAAAAGAACGCAAAGCTTAACAGTGCTAAGAATGTTAAGCTTCTTGGAACTGACCCCTGTTCCAGCTACGAGAGATATGATCCACACGTGTCCCCAGACCCTCATCCAGCGAGAGTTCGTAACAGACAAAACAAAATAGTAATAAGGGCATGGAATATAATAGTTTATATCATAGCCACCAAGCAAATATCTGATTATTATTCTACAGGGAGCGATGGATAAATTGTCGGCTAAATTGCGCAAAAAGGAAGATATCAATGACATGTCATTTTAACAGAGATATTTACAAAAATGACGCAAAATTATTTGGTATACTAGAGTAAATCTGTTCAATAAAATCGCGATTGGCTACAATAACGCCCTCCAGACGATTTTGGAATCTCCTGCAAATCTTCTGGATGGTCTCCTTGTTTGAGTTAATGAATGCCGCCATAATTCTTGCTTTCAGTTCATCTTTGGTTTTACAAGGAGTTTTGTTGGTCCCTCTCTCAACTGCGCCCTACACATAATAATTAAGGCGGTAACAATCTGGGGAATTAGGTGCCCAGGTGTAAGGGGTGATGTTGGTCGCAGAAATTGTCTGACAGCCATGACTAGTTCTCTTGCTTGTATGGCATGGTGCAGAATCTTGTTGCCAGACATAGAGTCTTCCAGCATCTACCCTCTTGACCCAGGCACTTGATGTAGGCCTCCGTGTTGCATTTGATGCCCTGTAGGAAGATGAATGGAGGCATAACGTCGCCATTAGTAGAGATCACTGCAAAAAACCTTCTTAGTCAGCATTAGATTCATCCAACTCTTTCCGAATCCTCTGCACTGTCCACAAGTTCACACCCAGCTAATCTAAAATGTGCGTATTGGAACTTCTGGTGAGAATGCCAAGCAGTACATCATGCCGTTTCCAAATTCCTGGTGGAGTGAATTTCGCATCGGTGCTTTTTTTCTCGCATAAACTTAGCTTATGTCACTGTGCAGTCGAGAAAATCAAAATCAAACAACGCGCATGCGTAACATAAAAAAATAAAAATAAAATAAAATGACGACAATTTACCCATCGCACCCGGTATGTGACGTGTCTCTCCAGAACGGGTGGAGGACCATGACTCTCAACAACTTCCTATCCTTCGTGACTCTTAGTAATGTTTATCTTTTTACCATCGCTCCCAGTCCAACTTCAGACATGCATTAGCAAAAAGTCGGTGACCTGCGGCCCCACCTTTTCACTTTTGCTTTCGATTTATCGTGCGAGTGTCAAATTCTCCAAGCCACCTTTCTAAATATGTCGCCAAGAAATTACGCCTATCTCTTTCTGATTTTAAGTATGAATGTCCATTTTGTTTATATTTTCTTTAATACTTCTTCGTTGCTTACATGCTCTGTACATGATATTCTCTGTAGCCTTCTTTTTTGTCTTCTTTTCTTTATATATATAAAAAAAAAACTGACCAGTTACTCTGCCATAGATGAGGATTGATATAACGTATCAGTCCAGCAATCTGTTCTTTGTTTCTAATAAAAATTTCCTGTTTCTTATTATTTTGCTTAGTTTTGGGAAAGCACCTTCTATATTCAATTGCAGCTTCAGATTTCGCTGTCAACTTTTTCCATTCTCTGTAAAAACACTCTGCAGATATTTCAACTTTGGTATTTGTTTTAATTTTCACGTCCCCTGTTCATAATTCATATATTCACCTTTTTATCGTGCTGATATTATGTCTTCATACAATTAATACATAGTCTTTTCCTCTCGCTTTCCTTTACTATTTTGTCTAAGGTGCCCTACAGTTTTCCCTCTGTGCCTGTCATTGCAGACACAGGCAAAGATAACGGTACTAAATTCTAACGTAACAAATTATATCGAGAAAAAAAAGAACCGATTGCTATCCAAGATCTTACGGATATTTAATAAAAGGCTCAGACATACAGAATTTAATTTTGCTTGTTTTCTTTTATCCAGTTTAGTAATATTTTTTTACAATTTTCTTCAACACAAACGATCAGGGCGTAACGGCATATAACATTTGGTGTTGTTACTTAAAACATTTTTCTGTAACTTTAGATTGAATATTTGTGCCCGATACATGATTCCCGCCGGTTTGGCCTTGGAACGAGATTAAGGTAGATGGCTAGATTATAAAACTATCGTAGATTTTACCAGAACACTAATGTAATCAATCACTTGTATTAGTATAGGAAGATCGGGTTGCGTCTATGTGCAAATGGAGAATGGCCTTCTTGAGCGAGATTGTGTCATATGGTAAACTGAACGACTATCAGATAGGAATACGTTACGATATATTGGCCAGCAAGGGAAATTGTGGACTAATGATAAAAAAACAATAATGAAACGGAGATAGATAGATAGATAGATAGATATGAATAGACTGCGATAGATATGAATAGACTGAGATAGATGAATCGATTGATATATATATATATATATATATGTATATATATATTGATATAGATAGATAGATAGATAGATAGATAGATAGATAGATAGATATGAACAGACGAGACAGATAAATACATAGACAGATAGACAGACAGACAGATATGAACAGACTTAAGATAGATAGATAGATAGATAGATAGATAGATAGATAGATAGATAGATAGATAGATAGATAGATATGAACAGACTAGAAATAGATAGATAGGTAGATATGAACAGACGAGACAGATAGACAGATATGAACAGACTTGAGATAGATAGATAGATAGATAGATAGATAGATAGATAGATAGATAGATATAATTTGACTGAAATAGATACTGAAATATATAGATATGTGTAGTAAGAACCGACTGAGATAGATAAATATTAATAGATTGAGACAGATACTGATATACAGAGACATGTGTAGATTTAGATAGATAGATAGATAGATAGATAGATAGATAGATATGAGTAGTTTGAAACAGACACTGAAATAGATAATGTCCCTTCAAGACGTAGACGATCATGACCCTTTACATCTTTTAGTTCCTTATAACTGTTAATAACTTTTGTCTTCTTTGTTTTTTCTCCTAAACCCTGTTCCACCATCCACTGGTCAAGCCCATTAAGTATGTCACGTGTTACTTTCCACGTCCCTCTTTTTCTCTACTAAATCCTGTGATTTTTTAATCCATTCTTCCTCATCACTTGTCCCAGAGATTTCAGCTGCCTCTTCCTGATGTTAAGTATAAGTATCCTCTTTGTTTCCATTCTCTCTAAAACCTCATGTTCGGCCTATCTTATCCTTAGCATCCTTCTGTAGAACCACTGCTTCGAGTCTCTTCTTCATCTTTGAGGAGATTGTCCAGCATTTGCTGTCATACAGGAGGAAAAATGCCATATAAAAGTTCAGTACTGTTACCTTTGTTTCCAACGAAACTTTCCTGCCTCTTAATACTCTGCCTAGCTTTTGGAATGCGTCTTTGGCCATCCCTATACGTCTTCGGATCTCAGTGTCGCACTTCCTGTTCGCTGGCAAAACACTTATTTTAAATTTCTGACCCGTAAATCGCATTTCGGGCTCATCTTTTTTTTTCTGATGGCTATGCATTCTGTCTTCTTGCAGTTTATGCTTAGTCCCTTCTTCTCGATCTCCTTTGCTACCTTTTGCAAGGAGGTTTTGTAGTTTCCTTTCTGTGTCTGCTACCAGCACTGTGTCATCCGCGTATCTTATGTTGTTAAGATTGTGGCCGCCAATGATAAATCCTGTTAGGATTTCAAGTTCTCTCAGAATTGCTTTGCTGTATAGGTTGAATAAATCCGGTGAGAAGACATATCTTTGCATTACACCCCCTTTCTATTTCTGTATATTTGCTGAATTCGTTTTAAGTCCGTATTCAGACGGTTTGCTGCCAGTAAAGATGTTTGATTATTCTAATGTCTTTCCGGAATATGTAAAATTTGCTGAACTATACTTGTGTTTTAGTCTATAAAACACAAGTATACGTTCTTCTGCATTTGTATTGTTCTTTCTGGTAACATTCTGAGCATAAATATCGCGTTTCTTATACCGGTGTCTGAGGAACCCACACTGTCCTTGTTCTATCTCTGGCCTGATTCCCTATTCATGCTAATCCATCAGTTACTTGTTTGGTAGTCATTCTAATGTTATTCTATTCAAACCTCACGTTCTCCTTGTTCTGTTTTTAAGAGTACCTCATCTTAAACTCTTAGTAAAGATACGTAATTTTGACTTAGGAACATGACGCTTATTGGAAATCTTGTCTTAACTTTTAACTTTCCGATAACACTCCCTAACAATTTCTATCAGCTACACTGAGATATGGTTCCTTTAGAATAGTGACAGCTGTTACATGTCGGGCAAACGAAACTGAATTGCTGGTACATTCTTGTACTTCAAGATCAACAGTGTTTTCCATCGAATGTTCTTGAATAGAATCTTTTCGAAGCTTTATATTAATGGGCTTTTCATAAATGCATATTAGGTTTTAAAATAAGATAATCCCAGCCGTGGCTTAATTTTACGATTACTAAATTGTTTTGTTGTTTTTTATTTGGATTTTAGATAAGTAATGCTTTTTAAAAGTATTTGTTGATTGTAATGTTTTCTGAGTAAATTTATCCAATTTTTTGCCGTTGTTTATATTGAATTATATCTAGAAAAAATACATTTTATTGAATAATGCAAATAATGTTGACGATCATTCCAGATAGATAGATAGATAGATAGATAGATATATAGATAGATAGATAGATATGAACAGACGAGACAGATAGATACATAAACAGATAGATAGACAGATGAACAGACTTGAGATAGATAGATAGATAGATAGATAGATAGATAGATAGATAGATAGATAGATAGATATGAACAGACTAGAGATAGATAGATAGATAGATAGATAGATAGATAGATAGATAGATAGATAGATATGAACAGACTAGAGATAGATAGATAGATAGATAGATAGACAGATAGATAGATAGATAGATATGAACAGACTAGAGATAGATAGATAGATAGATAGATAGATAGATAGATAGATAGATAGATAGATATGAACAGACTTGGGATAGAATATATAGACAGACAGACAGATATGAAGAAACTTTACATATATAGATAGATAGATAGATAGATAGATAGATAGATAGATAGATAGATAGATAGATATGAACAGACTTGGGATAGAATATATAGACAGACAGACAGATATGAAGAAACTTTACATATATAGATAGATAGATAGATAGATAGATAGATAGATAGATAGATAGATTGATAGATAGATAGATAGATATGAACAGACGAGACAGATAGATACATAGACAGATAGACAGACAGACAGATATGAACAGACTTGAGATAGATAGATAGATAGATAGATAGATAGATAGATAGATAATCAGAAATCTGTGTTAATTTAGAACATATCTCGTCCTAATGGATAGATACGTTGCGAGGTCAAAATAGACTTGTGTCCTTCCCCACTTTTCCTTTTACTTCCCAAACTTAAAAAGTGCATTAAGTGGCTTGAAAGATTACATTTTCCAAAAACTGTAACTTTTTTTTATTGGTCTGGTTATAGCATTTCCTCAAACGGAATCGATTTTTTCTAGTTGCAACTATTTTCCTAATTCGTAAAAAAAAATAAATAAATAAATAAAACAAACACATTAAATGCTTTAGTAAGCTCCACTAGCGACAAATCAACCTAAGCGACTTTATGTTCCTGTGACTTCCCTGTTTCTACAAACCAGTTTATGCGCATATAGGATGAATCATGAAGAGCTCTAAGCTAACGCATCACAATTATTTTTAACAGTAGAGATTGGTAAAGAGAAAAAAAGAACGATATTTTTATTATCATTTATTTAAATATATCGTTAACGCGTTTCATATTACCGATTCTCTTCAGCCAAAGACCGGTCTTTCCACCAGCAACTTGTTTCTAAAGTTTCTTTCAAAGGACATTAAACGTGCAGGTAAATAGATATGTCCAACTACGTGGATGCCGTGGTGAAATTTTTTATTGAGATCGTCTTGTTAATCAACTCGGCTTTTGAATGATTTTTATTCTCACTAATGTGCGCTCAGGTGTAATGGATAGCGGCTCGGTTTCCAGTCAGATCCATTACATTCACTTACGTGCTAATACCCTTGGGAAAGGCATGAATCCTCTTCTTCTCCTCCCTCCCCCGCGCTATGGATAAATAGCAGGACAGACCGGGTTCTATAGTCTTGGATGGCAACTGGTCTACCGTAGAAAGAAATGGCAACCTACTGCGGGAACATCTAAAGCAGACAGATGCAGCGAGGGAGCGAGCCAAGTGGTTTGTCCGGGAGGAGAGTATCCGAAGAACCGTCCGTAGAAGCCATCCACGCGAGCGGAGGCGGCGACTTGGGAAGCTTATTCGGATAAGCATCCTCCTTCGAAGGAATACCGGCTAAGACGGCAGGACGCTGCAGAGGAAAGCAGTACGAAGGAAACGAATAATGAACGATCAGCGAAAGTTGATGCAAATGCGAGAAAAACGAAAGTAATCACGCGCATAAGTGATCATTCTGGGCATAGGCGTTCGTCTGGCGTAAAATTGGCGTCTCGCGACGCTGACCGATCAAACTCGAACTTCTTACCATTTTAGCCTTTGAATCCATTTCGTTTAACAAGATATTTCTGATATTAAGTATAAGCCTCCTCCTTGTTTGCAGCCACTGTAAGATCTCATCGTTGCTCACACACTCGGTCCACGATATCCTTAGCATCCTTTTGTAGAACCACATCTCGAGTCCTACCACATCAGGGATAATCCTAGTTTGAAGTTTCCACATTTTCTGTTATTTCGATTTGCAAATCCTTATAATTTGATAGATTTTAATATTTATCATTATTATTATTTTTATTTCCTTTGATTTCTGGCGTGTAGACATTTCTTTCCGGGTTCCACCCAGAGACCTAAGTTTAGAAATGACATCATGACAATTTCCACTGAAAAATTTACATACATAAAGCCCTTCGTAAAGTGTGGGCTGTACTTGTGAGAACAATTTTTTGTATTTGTTTGAGGCATGGGCTTCCAGGAATCCCTTCAATTTTTCTACTGGAAACTTTTCCAACCAATCCTAAGGCTCCAATTACAACAGGGATTGTTGATGTTTCCATGTGCTACTTTTTTGAGATTCATTATTATTATTATTATTATTATTATTTGAATTAATTATTGATTATTATTTATTTTTATCATGATGAGCTCTTCGCTAGGGTGCCTAGATTCTTTCAGTTTAAGTGCAGGGCTAGAATGGTGGGGGACTCATTAATTTACAGTTGAGCTGGCTAGATGTAAGTGTAAATTCTATACTAAGAGTTTCCTTTGTCGCACTTATCGCTTGTGGAACACCCTTCCGAATCCCTGCTTTCCAACCAACTTTAATTTGCAAAAATTTAAATGCAATATCAATCTTTATCTACTGTACTCCTGATTACTCTTCCTTTGTTCTAGCCCTTTGCAGTTATTCCAGTTTCTATCTTTTTATTTCAATGGCTTTACGGCCTTCTTTGGGGATGAACTCGATTTTTTTCAAATATTATTATTTTATGCATATCAATAATATTTATGTATTATTTTACTAGTAGCATGGCCCGGCATTGCCCGTGCTTGATTCAAAAATCGTACGACTCATACAGCAATCGCTATCACTTGACTTAAAATATTGTTGCCCTTCCTTGCCTTTAAAGGAGTGCCCTTTACCGTGCTGATGTTGATACATGCCTTACTTCTTGCCTATCTCACACTGCGAATTTTTTCTAAGCTCTATACTAAACATTAAATCTGTTACGAAAAAAGAACTAAACAAAATGAACACAAAACGATCAGCTTTAAAAAAGGACTCGTAACTGGAAAAACCGAATGAAAAAAAAATGTTAACAATACTTTTTCACATCCGACCCAGTTCTGCGGAATCAGAATCAACGTTGAGTTTAAGCAAGCGAATGAGCCAATTGGAGTAAAGTGCCATGCAGATTTAAATTTTTTCCACTTGTGACGAATGCAGCTATCGATTTTTTTTTGCATCCTAGCATGCTAGTTAACATTCGTGTCAGTCAGCTGTTGGCTCTCACGCTGGCCAATAGAATCTTCCTGCCTATTCGTGGCAGCCAGCTATAGGCTCTCACTCTGGCCAGTAGAAAATGGCCGCAAACTACATGAAAACTGCCGTAGAAGCATGAAAAATCGATTATTTCCACTATCGATGGGAGTTGAGAAATGCAAAGTCAGTCTTGGCCTTTTCGCTAACTTGAAGTATGTGCACGTAAATTTTGGTGCAAATCCGTCGAAAAATGCGGCCGTGCAATTCGTTACACACACACACACACACACATTCTGTCTTTTATAGATAGAGATATAGATTGAGTGATTAATTCGTTTTCTACGGCTTATTTGCCGGTTATTTAAAGACTGAAAATATTTGTAAAACGGTATTGCGAAATTCATCTCATCGCAACTATGGGTTAAATAGTAAAACTATTATCTACAAAATATTCTTACGATCCAAAAATATATTTCAGCTTTAAATAACCTTAAAAAGGTTGATAAGCCGTAAAATGCAGATCAATCAACCAATAAAAAAACTGAATCGATACACTCTTCATTTTCACTAGTATGTCATAAATAATATTATCTGTGTATATTTCTGAGCTGAGGTATTATGTACACCTATTTACATAATTCGGACTATCGTCCTCATCTTTGTTGCCATATTTATTACAACGTTTCGGCGATTCTACGGTCTGGCCTTCTTCAGGTGGTTGGACTGTCGAACTGAACCCTTTATTTCGCTCGCTGGAGTAGACTCAGGAGATAACTGATAACTGACATCCATTGGGCATGGCATGTGAAAATAGAGCAGACTACCCCAGTGAGCGAAATAAAGGGTTCAGTTCGACATTCCAACCACCTGAAGAAGGCCGGAGCATACCACGGCCGAAATGTTCTGATGAATATGGTAACAAAGATGAGCATGATAGTCCGAATAATGTAAATATTTTCAACAATATTGTATCATCATCGTGAACGGCATTACATTTGAAAATAAATAAATAACTTCTGTTCGCATCCCAACCTTCGACAGTACGTCTTATATAGACGTTCATTTTTATCATTTCGACAATTAAGCAAGATACCAATCTTTCTACCAGTCACCAATCTCCAATTCTTTCTTTGTAACTAACAATAAACAATTGAACTTAATTCGTCTGTTGTTCGTCTTATTGTTATTAATGTTATTATAGGTATGATGTTCCGACCAAGTACTTACCGTTCATCATCAGGTGTCCATGATTACGGAGTGATAGGTTTCAACTTTTCTTTGAAATTCGGGAAACCTATGATATTTATCCTTCGAATGGCGTACTTCGACGTAATGTAATGGTTAGCAATCTTGTCTCACTAGATCAATTTATTAGTGAGTTCGATCTTCACCGGGTGCCACATTTTTTTGGACTTGTGCCACAACTAATCTACTCTTAGTAAACCAACATATTTTTCACCATATTTTTCTTTCAAATGTATCGGTGAGTCTCTTCATATATCCAGTAGCAACAGAGCTGTAATATTTTATTGAGATTCTAGCAATAATAACAAATATTTCATTTAAATCAAAAGAAACTCAGCAGCTAATGTTTTCCCTTGGAGATTAATTTTAGTTTGAAATGCTAAAGAGTATCCTGAAACCTTTTATGATTCTAATCCATTTTATGTTCATGAAATAAATCCATTTCACATCAGTAGAATATTGCCTGAAAATGACTTTCTGGTCGGAAAAAAAAATGAAAAGAAAAATTAATACATATTTAAACGCTTCTTCTTTTTATCGACCTCCAAAATGTTATGATCATGGCCCTCCACAACTTCGTATTTTTGTAGATTTTAGTAATATTTAATGCATGGTCATCAGTAAAAGGATGAGCCCAAAATGCGGGTTGCAGGTCGGGGACATTAAAATCAAACATGTGAGCAAGTTTAACTGTCTGGGAAGTGCTCTGATGGAGGATGGTAAGTGCGACGCTTAGATCCGAAGACGGATTGGGATGGCCAAGGGTGCATTCCAGAACCTGGGCAGAGTATTGCGAGACAGGAGGATTTCTATGGTGACAAAAGAAAAGAGTACTGAGCTGCTACGTGACATTTGTCCTCCTATACGGCAGCGAATGTCTGACGGTCACCTCAAGGATGAAGAAGCGACTCGAGATGGCGAAGATCTGGTTCTACAGAAGGATGCTGAGGATATCATGGACCGAGCATGTGAGCAACGATGAGGTATTGGAGAGGATGCAAACAAGAAGGAAGCTTATGCTTAACATAAGGAAGAGGCAGGTGAAATTTTTGGGACACGTAATAAGAAAGGAAAGCCTGGAGAATCCGATACTCACGGGACGAATAGAGGGAAAAAGAGACAGGGGAAAGCAGCGTATGACATACGTAGCGGGCTTGGGCAGGTGGATGGCAGAACGTGGTCTGGGGGCGTTGGCAGAAACACAAAACCTGTTGAGAGCCACAAGGGATAGGGAGAAGTGGAGGGCTATGATCGCCTATGTACTGAAAGGACACGGCACATAAAAAGAAAGATCCCCTTACTCTCCATTTTCTATCATCGATATACACACGCTGATTAAACTGTTTACTTGCTTTCCTCTGCCTCTCTTGTTTTAAATATGTTCTATGAGTGTCAAACTTTCCAAGCCCTCTTTCCGCATTATGCGAACCACTGACTAAATTTTCTTTTTATTAAGATTTTCTTTAGAGCATTCGCTTTGCTTACATGCTCTGTTGGTGATATTCTCAATATCATCTGTAGAATCATCTCTCTTACTTCAACTCTCCTTTTCATCTGTGACGAATATGTCCAGTATTCGCTGCCATATACGAGCATAATATATAGCAGTTGAGCATTCGTTCCCTTTTTATTTAGTTCTAGCGAAATTTTCCTAGTTCTTAATACTTCGTATAACTTTTCGAAGACCCATTTTGCTATTCCAGTGTGCCATTTCTATGTCTCATTTTCTGTTAGCGTTTTAGTCTTCAAAGCTAGTTAAATTTCTGGACGTGTATGTTTCTTACCTTTCTAATGTGTAACTGACATCTTGGACGGCCCGTCTTGCTAGCGACGCTGCATTTTGTCTTCGCATAGAAGTCCAAGTCATTAGTGTTTTCTTCCTGCTTTCATTTGCCTTGGAGTATTTTCTTTCTGTGTCTGTCATTAACACGGTAGTCGCGGTAATGACGATCAACAACATCCAATATCAAGGCCTCTGATCGGGAGATTGGAGGATTTAAGGATCGTGGAACCACGTCTTAAGTGCTGTTCGCAAATCCACCATCGAACAGTGTGGTAGCACTTGTTAGGTCCTAGCTATGGGCAAATATTGAACGACACAAAAAAAAAAAATCAAAAATACTTTGTCAAAAAATAATTTTATAAAAAATTGCCAAAAATACAATTTTATAGTAAAATTATCAATAATACTATAGCAAAATGACAATCAATGGGACAGTAAAAATTATAAAAAAAATACATTTTTATAGTAAATTTACCAATAAGAATTTTTATAGCAAAATGACAATCAATGGGACAGTAAAAATTATAAAAAAAATACATTTTTATAGTAAATTTACCAACAATAATTTTTATAGCAAAATGACAATCAATGGGACAGTAAAAATTATAAAAAAATACATTTTTATAGTAAATTTACCAATAATAATTTTTATAGCAAAATGACAATCAATGGGACAGTAAAAATTACAAAAAAAATACATTTTTATAGTAAATTTACCAATAATAATTTTTATAGCAAAATGACAATAAATGGGACAGTAAAAATTATAAAAAAAATACATTTTTATAGTAAATTTACCAATAATAATTTTTATAGCAAAATGACAATCAATGGGACAGTAAAAATTATAAAAAAAATACATTTTTATAGTAAATTTACCAATAATAATTTTTATAGCAAAATGACAATGAATGGTACAGTAAAAATTATAAAAAAAATACATTTTTATAGTAAATTTACCAATAATAATTTTTATAGCAAAATGACAATCAATGGGACAGTAAAAATTACAAAAAAAATACATTTTTATAGTAAATTTACCAATAATAATTTTTATAGCAAAATGACAATAAATGGTACAGTAAAAATTATTAAAAAAATACATTTTTATAGTAAATTTACCAATAA